CACAAAAAAATATACATTTTTTGTTTCAATAAAAATGAAAAAATATTTTTAAAAATTACATTTATATTCACTTACTTTTTTCACATGCAAATTCAAAAAAAAAAAATACATATATGTTTATCGATCCATTTTCTATTACGTACAACTAACTGGTCTATTTCAGATGAAAGAGAAGAACGTAAGCGTAAGAGAAGAAGTAGATGGGGTGGCGAGGAATCAAAGGTAAACATTCCAGGACTACCAACTGCAATCACTTCAAAGATGTCAAAGGAACAGTTGGATGCCTATCTTTGTGAGTTGATGTTTTACATAAAACCGTGTGTTTAATATACCATAAATTTTACTTATAAAGCACACTATATATATATATATATACATTTAATTTTGATTTTAGTACATATGAGATTAGAAGAAATTGGCAGAAAATTAAGAACTGGAGATTATGTTCCACCAGAACGTGAAAGGTATATTTTATGATTTAAATAAATAAACACCCTTCATATCAAAAAAAAAATAAAAAAAATAGTTTATTCATTTTTCTTTATCACTTGTTATCGTTCAGATCGTTATCACCCAAACCTATTTATGATTCACAAGGAAAGCGTGTCAATACTCGGGAGTATCGTTATCGTAAAAAATTAGAAGATGAAAGACACAGGTTAATCGAGGATGCTATCAAAATGAATCCAGATTTTAAACCACCTGCTGATTATAAGCGTCCTACCAAAATGCAGGATAAAGTTTATATACCAGCAAGAGAATTTCCCGAGATCAATTTCATTGGTTTATTGATTGGTCCTCGTGGTAACACTTTAAAAAAAATGGAATCAGAATCCGGTGCCAAGATTAGTATTCGTGGTAAAGGAAGTGTCAAAGAAGGAAAGAGTAGGACAGATTCTGCTGCAAATGCTAATCAAGAAGAAGATTTGCATTGTCTGGTTACTGCTGATTCCGAGGATAAGGTAGAGAAGGCAGTTGAAATGGTCAATAAGATTATTGAAAATGTAAATAGACAAAAAAGTAAATTTTATTTAAATTTAAATGAAAAATTATTTTCTAATATATTCTTTCTCAAAAAAAGTCAGCTTCCGTTCCGGAAGGTCAAAACGAACTTAAAAGACAACAATTACGTGAATTGGCAGCTCTTAATGGTACACTTAGGGATGATGAAAATCAAATTTGTGCCAATTGTGGTATTACTGGACATCGTAATTATGAGTGTACTGAATCACAAAATGTTACTATCAATCTTACATGCCGCATATGT